AAATCATTGATCCTGAGAACACTGTTTTGGAAAAATTCTTCTGATTGCATTTCAAGCCTATTTGTGAAGTAACCGTTTTTATTATGTTTTCCCACTGCTGTTTCTTTCTTCATTTCATTTGATATCAGAAACAATAGCTGCACACCATGCTGATAAACATACAAATAAATAACTGCAAATACACATGTAAATATAAAACAAAAAAATGATTAAAGAAGCCTAAATCAATGTAAGCAGTTTGCTAATATTCATATGTATCAAAACTGATTTCACAGTAGTAAAAATTTCATTTATTTTGTGTTGAGTGTTAGTTTATTGCTGACCAGTAACAATTTTTCCAAGTCTTAAACTGAACTTGATATCTAAGAAATATCTGTCTCGACTCTGTTGCGTTTTTTTCTGCCATTCTTTCTTCTTTTTTCTTCATTCTCTTCAAGTACTAAACTGTTTCCTTCTCGCAGGTTAGAGATCGCCAGGTAATTTCTTCCTTAACTTTTAAAAGCTTAAGCCAAATTTTTTTCAACAATGACAGGAAGCAAACCTAAAAAATATGTGGCAGTTTTATAGAGCTGATACATCAAGATGTTTAATTTAGTGTTGCTTCAACAACGAAGCTTCCGGAAAAAAACAGCACCTATTAGGTAAATAAACATTAGCCGCAGTATTAAACAGTGACATACACATACACAAAGAGAAATTAAAAAATAGTGTTTTCAGAACCTGATTTCTCAGGGAGAATCTTTAAAAGTGTTGCTGACGCACCAGAAATTAGTAGATGTTACCATCCAGACGGGAAGTAAGACGGAAACAGTTGCGAGTGTTAAGAGAACAAAAGCGCCGGGGGGCCTAAAAGGCAGCAAGATAGCTGCCAAAATGGAGGGAAAAGAGCCGTAAGCAAGTGAAGTACGTTGGCGTAATGCCATAACCGTTTGGGAGTGCTCAATTTAAAAAGACATTTGTTGCGAGTGATCTGTGATACGCATAGTATATAGCTATCTTGCTAGCATCGTCTCAGGGGCTAAGGCTTGGAGATCAGCACTGGTTGATATCTGTTTTATTTGATAGTTTTGCTTGGAATTATTGTCGTTGTCGTCATTGTTTTTTGCGGCCTAAGCTGTGAACACCTATGAGCGATCCTCTTGGAAGGCCGATCGCTTTCAACAGTCAGAATAGGAAGGATCAAGATGTTGTTAAACGCCTTGAATCTATGCTATACTTGGTCAGTTTTTTTTTTTTTTTTTGTTTAATTGTTTTTTCCAATGTATCCAACTTTTAAAAAATGAAAGAATCTGTCGTTGATTAAACAAACAAAGAAAATTGTTGGTTGTAAATGTCACCTAAGTACGTTTGTATTACTGGTGACAATATTTTCGTCTTTCATTTATTACAGCAAAAGATGTTTGTTCTCAGCAAAATCTGTAGGTTGAAAGTTCAACATCATTTTCACGTGCATTATATGGGTAAACACTTTTTGTATTAGCAGTACCGGTTTTTTTTTTTTTTTTTTTTTTTTTTTTTTTTT